ATGATGGTAACTACAAAACAGTACTATTGCTTCGTATTTCAGAGAAAGAGAACAGTGAGAAGTAGGGCATCTGTTTCCATACATGGAGAAAATTGTAACATGAGAAAACTAGATGCAGTGTGCTCCTGCTGGAAAGAAGTTACACCTGTGAAATTTTATGTACAGTGGTAAGATAATAAGATGATGGGCTCACTGCAGATACAGAAACAGCCCTGAGCAGGCTGTGGGGCTTGCTTGCACAACAATGAGAAGTTTAAACAGCAACACCAAAACATTTTTAGTAGACAGAATGCAGGGGTTATTTGGAAACAACCCATGCAAGCCACAAACAGTGGAAGGTCTGGTGAAAACATCTGCAGGTACAAGATTATTAAAAGACTTCACCATCACAGGCTTCAAGTTGTACTTGGGAAAGATGTGTGCAACAGGGATATCTCCTTTGTGGTACATCTAGAAACAGCAGGTGGCCACAGCTTGTTCTGTGCTTGAATACTGTCACAGTGTTTTGAGCAATGTGAGTAACAAGTGCTGTGCATCTTTTTCTTTTCAAGAACACAATTTTATCCCAACTCTTTTTCTTGGAGTGATGCAGAGAGCATATTTGACTTTTTACAGGTACAATCCCTAAAATGCATAAAAGAAAGGTTACGCTGCTGTAGAGACCAAAAAGAGTTTAATGAATTCCTAAGCGTTCACTTATTTGAAAAAAATATAGCCCCCAAGAACCCTGTGCTTACTGAATTAGATTCTTAAAGCCATTATACCTCAACCAATAGCTTTTTTTTCCCCTCGAGGAATTTCTCTCTCCAGAGACCATATAAGTATTTCCATTAAAAGTAAGTTCTATACAAGCAACAGTGATTAAGAAATGTCACAAACACTGTTCATCCTTCACCAGGAATAATTGGTGCAATGGCATTTGCAGAAAAACATCCCATTTCATTATTTGGATTTCTTAACATTGTCCTGCTTCTGTACTCACTCTACAAAAGCTCATATTTACTAAACTATTAAAAATAAGTAATTAGCCACACAAATCCTGTAAAGCAAATGGTGCACAGGGGGTAGGTAGCCACCATCTACTACAAGAAAAGCTGCATCATCCATCTTTAAAAATACTTCAGTTATTTTCTGCCAGTCCATTACCAGTTTTATTCTAAAAGAAAAGCATATCTACTTAGGAAGAGTATGATTGGGAGCAAACAAATTATGTGACAGATATTAGTATCCACAGAATCAAAACTTCAAATTAGAATGTTCTCAGTGACAATACTGATATTTTATCTGCACAAAAGGTGCTTAAATGGTTCATAGCAAGTTTGTCAAAAGCAGGTATCTAGAGACAAACTTCCAAAATTGCAGTGAATGGTTATCAAATGTTATCTGAGGGATTTATCTGTACTAGTGAAGAATATCTGTAATTTCTAAGGAAAAACAAACTTGGAGCCTTGCTTTCTAGTAACAACAACAGTATTAATAGTTACTAACGTGGGATAAGTCTTACTGAAATGCACTGATGTGTCCTTGAAATATTCTATGCCAAATCAAGTATTTCAAAGGCAGAAGAATTCTAACTGTTTCTCGTGCATCTTGGCAACATCCTACTGCCTTGTATTTGAGACTGAGGATCAGATCTCAAGATACAACGTCTAAGAAATTTTGTCTGACAAATCACTTACAGAAGATGAGAGGAATGATACTGAAATCTAAGATCAAAGTATACAAATGAGTAATTCACATTCCTTTATTGTATGCTTGCAAGACCTAGGCCAAACGTGAACATAACATTAGGCACTTTGTAAAGCTCCACCTGCTCTTCAGCAAGAGAATTTGCATCAAGTGTTAAGGTGAGGCTACACAACCCTCAACTACAGGATGCAGTTATCTGTTAGATAACCATCTCCTTTGCCAGTCTGAGAGCCTTGTCCACCAGGTCACGTCACTTGAATGACTAACAGCACACTGATGTCCACTGCTGTGCTCTCTCACCAGCTCCAGGAAGGTAGCGTTAGCAGGACACTTGGGCAAAATAAATACATATTTCCCAATGCTCCTCTGCAACTGAAAACCTGAAGACCTGCAAGACTTTGAGCAAAAAGAGAGAGGCTAGCCTAGTAGGCAACTGTCTATCCTCAGGGTCATAAAAAAATACCACGCACTGGGAAAAAGAAGAAACAGCGAGGAGCTGGCAACATCAGAAGCGCAACACAGCCAGCAGAAGTGATTATGCTGATGCCAGATCTGGTCCTATCTGAGCTTTCCAGCCACTGCTGACTTGACAGCACGTGTCCTGATGCTGGAGCTGGCAGAGGTGATGCTGAGCATGGCTAGTGGCTCCTAGCCAACTTAAAGCAATAGCACCAAGCATCTTCCTTGAGCTAATATTTAGTGGCAGAAATAGTAAAATCTCTGTATATAATATGCACTGTCAAAATTGCAAAATGCCAAAAAAGCCTCCTCAACTCTCCGTTTCCCTCAATGCCTCAGACTGCTCTGATGCTGGACTAGTAGGATGCTGCAGTCAACAACTGAGCTGCGCTGGCTGAGCTCCAGGGCCCAGAAAAGTGAACGGGAGGAAAAGGGAACAGCTAGAAGTCATGACTCTGGGAAACTGGCACAGTAGTAAAGACGCAGCTCGTTGCCAACACTGACTGCATTCCAATTTTAGTAGACTTAACATTTTACAGATTAACGGTGAAGAATTTCAAAACTCACAGTTAGCGTAAGAGATGGATATTGGAGTTTATACAAATAACTGAAACATACACCAACAGCCTGAACATAGGTATATGCAGAAAAAGAACAAGCAAAAGCAACAGATCTCCCAAAACACAAATGGGCAATGACTTTCTAGTTCATATTAAGTATGGCTGAAATCTCAACTCTGGCACTATTAAAAGTTGGATCACCATATACTTTAACTAAATGATAACTTATGCAAGTTACAGCCATTTCAAAAAAGCTATTTAATCTGCATTTCTTAAGATATTATATTTCAAACATTGGGTGCCTTTGCCAAGTAACATAGGACAAACTATGCTTTTACATCAAAAGAGTTGAAGCTGATATTATTCTTCCCATTACATCAGATGGCCTAAACATCACGAGGATTTCAGGACATCCTGTGCGGAGCAGCTCCTTCTCATGACAAAAATGTCAAAGTAATTTATTAAACAGATGCAAAAATAAGCCACAGAACTGAACCCAAATAACGTTCTCACCGACATCGTAGGGGAAGTCATTCACTACTTCTCGGAGAACTACTCTACTGGAGATGAGTTGGAGAATCACCTCAGAGAGCGAAGAGCTGGTGGGGAATACAAGTTCCCAGCTTCCAGCCACCATCACAGCCCAAAATTCAAAGGGCTATTAGTGGAAAATGATATCTGTAAATAATTCCTAATGTTTATCATTTTCAAAGTACATAAGGTTGGCTTTCTGGCAAGCTCTACAGCTTCCTTCCGATGAAAGCAATGCCCTAATGCAGAGCTCTGTCCCCACAGCAGCCTCTCAAGGCACTTGGCTGAAATGATCCAAAGACACTGAGCACACTGGATTAAGCTATAGTGCTGCAGTAAACGCACTTTAGTAAGAAACAACTGGACTGACAGTCTCAGGTGCCAAAGGTCAACAGAAGGCCAACATCTCCCTTCCCATACATCAGGTGTGAATATGGAATTACTGTTTTTTTCCAGATTTCCTAGCAACATGAAGCCTGAAGAAGCAATTTCTGACACTGTTAAAACCGCACCAGTGTCATTCAAAGAAGACTGTAGCGTTAGGACGTTCAAAAGCTTCAGCACCTCTCTGCACAACGCTCTGACAGACCACGTCTTGAATGGAAACAGTTTAAGCACAGAAAAATTACATCCTGCACTAATACCTAAACTTCAGCAAATTCCCCTCTGATTTTTATTTTAATGAATACCAGCAGAATAGATTTGTTATTTATATACCAATCATTCACACCTCATTCTGCTTCTCTTGCTGCCAACATCATCACCTTGCCACAAAAATGCCCTTCTGTCCCATACACCTGCTGCCAGAAAGAGCTGAGAGGCAGGGGGCAAAAAGCAGATAATGACTACGCACCTGGAACACTTTCAAGGACAACGTTTGCTTTTGACTTTTGGGGGATTAAAACCATTCTTCCATAAACAAGCATGAAACTATCCCAAGGAGAGCTACATTAGTAATGAAAATTTTCTTGCTTCTTGTCAGTTGCTTCAGCCACTTCTGCTGCCATTGGATGCATATTATGAAGGCCTTTCTACTGCATGGTTCTGTGCAGGTGTGATTAAATCTGCCTCGTATTTCCCAAAGTCCCCAAGTAGACTATTATGCCTCAGTTATAAAGATAATTTCTCAGAATGAAAGAGCCAATAAGAAATTATTCCTTTGGGCATCTCAAAAGTGCTAACATAAAATGCAGTAAAAAACATGAGCATTAGAGTAGCAGAAAGTAATTTAGCACTCACAGAGGCAACTTCTTTGCAACGTCCTTCTAGCATTTTAACAATATGTATCTGCTCAGATCTAAGTCAGGAGATGGGATAGGAAAGCACTGCACTGAACTATCGCCTCGGGAGAATGGCACTGGATGGAAACGAAATGGCCAAGTTTATCTCTTATTTCTCTTTTTGCTCTCATCACAAAATACAGCAGTAGACAACCTAGTATGATTTTTAGACTATTGTGTCAGCTGCAGGTCAGGATGAGGTAGCTGCAGGACCTCTGAGTGTGTGCATAAAAGGACACATGTAAAAGTACAAGTTTCACAGGGGTTTGTTGGTACAGAACGATGCATTCTGGGGGAAGATCTAACCATAGAAAGAGTAGGTCAGAAGTGAGAGGTGCCACCGGGACTTCATGTGAAATCGAGGAGGAGGAAATTCAAGAAACTGAGTTGCAGTTTGAGGGATGTCATTTGCCGCAGGAGGGAAGGTAACACATGAAGTCCCACAGGCTCCAAAATGTACTCAGTTAGCTGTTCCTTTTACCTTTTTGCTCTACCCAGCATTTCTTCAAGAGCACAGTCATCTCTGGCTTTGGCATCCTACTCGTCATCTACGAATTCATGTTGCTGTTTCCTCCCTGAAAGGAAAAAATCCCATAGTCAATCATTTGCTACACAGAGGAAAGGACAAATTTAATAGACTATTTTTTACACTGTTTAAGCTTGGAAACCGCTGCTCCTTGGGCAGATACTACTGCAAGTTGTGTTCTCTGCTACAATGTCAGTCATCTGAAATACCCCGATCAGTCTGTCTGGACTCTAGAAACTTGCACAAAATTTACCTGTAAGCAGCTGAAAAGCTGTCAATATCCACAAACTGCCTAGAAAGGCAGAGTAATCCAGGGCCATGACTCACTCTGAGTAGAGATTTCCCAGCAACAAGACACTTGTGCCAAGCAAATGTCTTTATTTAAAACATTCTAAAAGTGTTAATCTGTATGAGACAGAAGCAATTCAACGCTGAGAAAACACACCTAAGGTTAGGGAAGCCTCCATTTCATATGAAATGAGCCAAATTAAACTAAAGTCAAACGTACAAAGCAGAGACAAAAAAAAAATCAGTTTTCTCAAAGAGATAACATGAGGGGCTCTCACAGGGATTTGCAAATTCTGGAAGAGAAAAAAGATCATATTTCATGGGAAGAGATGCAATAACCATTCTTTTCACATAAAACTAGTGATGGAGGTTTGCCACTACTCCATAGACACACAGGGCACATTTCAGGGTAACAGTAACAGAAAATCAATAGTATCTTTCATGAGGGAAAAGACATTATCTCCATGGACTCCTAATACTAGCAAATGGGACCAAAATTCACCTTTACTACAATTTAGCAGCCAGCATTAATTTGACTGATAAGACAGGGGTAGCATGCTAGGCTAGATCTTTGGCTCTTACTCTTTTTCATTGCATTAGAACAACAACAACAAACAAAAAAACTCCACAACTCTCAAAGCTTCACCCTTCATTAAAGCCAAAGAGCCCCTAGATAACACTATATTACAAGTGCAACACTGTTTAACCCCCGTCTCCTGAAAGCCCCATCCACACACGTTTCTTCTCTGGTTGATGGCTGTAATCATTAGGAGACAGGAGCTTTATCAGGTGGCAATTTGACAGCTTTGACAAGCTGGGCTGAATTTATGGCATCCTCAAGTTTTTCTCTCCATTGATCTGAGATAGAACTAAAGTTAATATTAGCAAAAACACTTTGCGCAGGGCAATTTTCCAGTAACTGCGTGATTCTAGTCACTAAGAAAATACTCTAAATAAGGCCTGTTGGTAAGATCCACATCACATTCACCTGCCACCCTTACCAGACTAAAGCAAATGGTTCCTCATCCAGTTTACGAGTTTATGTGAAATAGTCACTAGATGGAAGGTAACAATTGGCATCTCCGGCTCTAGAAGAGCAGAGATGAATGTGTTCTAATGGAACATCTCTGCTCCTTGTAGAGCAGTCACTGACATCCCAAAGTGACACAAGCATAGACCTTTCCCTTAGCTTTAAAAAAAAAAAAAAAAAAATTAGCCCCCAAATCAATTCTCCAGACAAGCACATACAAAATTAGCTACCCTCTTTTTCACCATGCAGAAGCACTTTTCATTGGCCCCTATGCTCTGAAACGTGGGAATTTCAGACACACCCTTTTGACATTTCCACCTAGACTAGGTGGAAATGGAAGTTCCTGAAAAGGAACTTTTCAGGACTTTCCTGAAAAGCATTTCAAGCACTTCACTCTCCCCACTACTTACACAGAACATACACCTAAATACAGTTTATGAACTCTATACCTTAAGCTAAGGATACTTGCAGTATCATCATGCTTAACTCCCTTTCTGAGTGTGGGCTCAATCTCTTTCGGACAGAGTGCATAGTTCCTTCTGTGCCTATAGAGTATCTAGGTTTCTTCTAAGCTTTAATATCCAAGTAATGAAGAAAGTTGTTTATATTCCAGTGGCTCATGCGGTCTATTGAAAGAAGGAACCAAAACCAATTACATGTTTGAGAAAGCAAGGTCCTGGCAGATTGAGTCCTTTGGAAAACAAGCAGAGCTGCACCAAGAAACTAGTGAGGCTAGTCATGTCTTACAAAAGAAGCACGTTCTAGACTATGCCTCCTCCACAGACATGAAACGCGTCTGACAGAACAAGGGCCTTTTAAACCCGGAATCTGATTCCAGGGGCCTCTTCCACTTATTACAAAGACTGCGTCCCAAACAGCACACCAACGCTTTCTCATCAGGAGTCTGCAAAGTAGTGATGTGGGCAAGAGAAACAACGCACCCTAAACCGAGGCTTGGCAGGTCAGTCAAGCACAAACAAGCACTCTGCTTTAAAACTGCTTTTGGCTATAAATATTATTTTTCTCTGTTATAATTTAGGAATTCAAAGCGTTTTCTCTACATACTTAGAAAGCACTTCAGTTCATATTTATCTCACTAGAGCCATACTTCTCTCTTTCTTCGTTTTCCGGCCAAGATCTGACACCTGTGGACTGTTTGCCTCAAACTCCCCTGAATCATCTGTGATGCATACAAAACAATGGCCAGAATTGCCCATGAGCAGTAGTGTCCTTTAGGAAACCGTTATGAGAATCTGCCACGGGAAGGATTCCCATTAACTTTGTCACTAGCATCCCTATGGGCCACTCAACTCCCAAGTCACTCTAGAAAGAGAGCACAGCTCTTGATTGTGGCAGCACCAAACTCCATGGGAAATAGGGTTGCCATGGCAATTTATATTCTCAGAACTTGAGTCTTGTTTGCATTTTTGCACAGACCCAGTGACTCTCAAATCATGTGAGAAAAATGAGTCTAACAGGTGGGTTCATTCAGGAAAAGCACACTGCCAGACAATTCCCGTGTAAAATGATTCTCTTTTTACATGGTTGCTCAGAACATGAGCCTTTGTGGACCTCTCGTTCCAAGCACTGCACCTCATTTACTATGAAATCCAAGGTGCTTCTGTAACACAAGCAGTATTTCCTTGCTAATTACCTTTCCACCAGGAGACCTTATTTACTAACTGAGCAAACCTTCCTGTTGTTCTTAAACAAAGGTTAGGTGAAGACAGAATCCAAAACAAACCAGTTGAGCTTTGGAAGAGGAAAACGTGCTTTCAGCTTCACAGGAGACTGTATAGGTACTAAGCTGTCGTTTAAAAGCTGCTTCCGCAAGGACAGAGGTAGCCTAAAATCACTCCAGCGTCACCTATACAAATATCGGATACTGTCACGGGGGAACACCCACCAGAGGGGGAAAGGGGGTATTTTTCCGTCCTGGCTGCTCTCGTGGCCTACAAGCACTAAGCCAGCCGGCCACGGCGTTTGACAACGGAGCGCGGGCCAGGAAGCC